AAATGGTCCTGTTGTTTGGCAACATTTAACCAGAATTAAAGTCACAGAGATGATAAAAAGTGGTTAGTGACAAAGTCTGAGTTATGCCCTTCTACCCTAAATGGCCACAGCTTTCTTGTCTTGTGACATAAATAGCTGATATTTCAAGTTTCAAAATAAATGATTGCAAAATTTCTGACAGGTTTGGGCTAAATCAAGTTTAACACTAGTGGAATGAAAATCCCTGCAAGTGCAGTTGCACTGTAAGAACATGTTTATGCAATTGCTTGTGCACAGCCATTGTACAAGAAATGGTAAAAAAGGTTGTCCAACTTGGTTGCACAATCTTTGCACATCTGGTAGCACAACCAAAATAGTATTGAATACTATATTGTGGCAACTCTAAAGCTGTGCAATACAATAATTGGATACAGTCCAAACTTCTGCAACATTATAGATTCCAAAATAGACCTTTATCCTGTTGCTTCTGGATTTAGTGCAGAATATCTACTTCAGAGATGAAGCAGATGAAAGTAGGTCAGCACCAAGTGTTCACACTTCTTCATTCTTTCACATCAGTACACTGTGCAAAGCCATCTGGTTTAACTATTATAGAGCTATTACTTGTCTGTGGTTAGAATGTGTGGGATATGGGAGCAACTTAAAGGCAAGGGAAATACCTCTCCTTGCACTTTCTCTAGATGATTTTCTACTAGTGAAGGTTATGTGATTATGTAGTGGCTGCTTAGGAAAAAAATGGTTGGAGAGAATTACTTTGCGGGAGAAAGAAAATGGTCAGGAGAAGATTTAGCAAAACCTCCCCATCTACCTTTCTACTTAACCCATAGGCTGACATCTATTTTAGGGAAAGGGAAAAGAACTGGAAAACATCCCCCTCCCCTTGCTGGAACATGCAGTTTATGGAGTTTGTCTCTGGATCCAAACTGTAATCTTTTCTCCTATCAGGCTAAGCATATTTTTGCCACTTTTTGTGTTTCCCAGAATCACCTTGGTTCATCTACAAAGTTAAGGAATTAACTTCAGAAATATAAAATAGTCACATTGGGAAAAAAAAGAGAAATAATATTAAGAATAAACAGAAAAAGAAATAAAATTAACCAATTAAGAACACATTTAGTTACATCAACCAATCACATTTTTTTTCTTTGGCTTTAACAATATGCCATGCATTTGCGTTTTTACAAATCAGCTCACAGGTTTCCAAACAAATGCCAATCTCTAAACATACATGGATAGTGGAAATTTCTAGGGAACCTGCCTAGAAAGTCTCAAATATTTAACCTACACTTTGATCATTTGAAATAATTTGTTTCTGTGTTTCATTGAAAAAAGTTTACAAAACAGGATGGCAATACACTTCCTACTTTAGGATAAAGTAAGTGCAGTAAGACTAAAACATACCAAACCTCTTAGAGGTTTTAAAGTTCTTTATTATTCAGTGTACACTTGTTTGAAACTTGAATAACAGATTAACAAGAAAATATAATCTGAAATTGTGATAATGTTTTTTCACTGAGTTATCTAAAGAGAAAGCTTCTTCTGCAGTTAATCTTTGACAGGGAATTCCTTTGTACTCTTTACTTCTTTAGAGAACAATTGCAAAATACTTTCTGTTTCATAGTTTACAATGTTGGTACAATGTAGTCAGTCCATCAGAATGCTTAAAGTACATAGTGATTGACCATTCAGATGAATTGCTGTGTTCTACTAAAGGATATATAAGTACTACAGCAATGGGACGAATTAATTTTGCCTTTCATTGCATTTGAGACAATAGAATAATAATAATCAATATCAACTGCTGTCATGCTGTTCCCCAGCACTTAGGGCTTTGCTCTAAAAGCATGAACCTAGTCATTACATGTCTGTTACTGAAATGTCTCTTCACTTCATATTTTCCCAATAAGTGCTATCCAGAAGGAATGCATATGTATATCCTTATTATGTTGTTTAAGGGACCAGTGGACAGTTAAGCAACTGTATCTGTGGTCACACTAATTTAATGTGTAAATAGCTATTGCAATTCAGCAACTTTCAGTTTAAAAAATGATGCCAATCTGTTTTAGATGTTCCAAAAACAGAACAAAACACCTTTCCTCTTTCAATCCAAATTCCTTTATAACTCCATGATACAATTTTATTCATTTATTTCCTTGATAATGAAACATAGTAGTAGCAAATTGGAGTTAGATAGAAAGGAGAAATAGAGTTGGATGTGAGCATACTGGTGACACTTAAGTCCAAAACACCAGATGATCTATCCCAGTATTTTCATGTAGACATTAAATCTGTTGTTGTTGTGTGTCTTCAAGACATTTCTGACTTATGGTGACCCTAAGGTGAACTTATCATGGGTTTTCTCAGCAAGACTTGTTCAGAGGGGTTTTGCCATTGCCTTCCCCTGAGGCTGAGATCATAGATGTGCTCAACGTTACCCAGTGAGTTTCATGGTCAAGCTTGGAGTCTAGCTCTGGTCTCCAGAGTTGCAGTCCAAGACTCAAACAACTGCACCAGTATAATGGGAAACAAAACCAAGTCTGTAGTCTTGCTCTTATTATTCACAGTGTGTTGTTATATCTGCTTCATGGATTTATGCCATTGCAATGTCTTCATCTTTCTGGTCTGGTGATTTTTTTCTGTACAGTTGGGGAATCCACTCAGTTAGAGGGGTTTCTGCATCTAAAGTATTGCAAAGAAAGTATCTGCAAGCTAGAGTGAAGGACAAGGCTTTGGATAATAGCCACATCTCTGGGCCAAGCATAAGTAATATGTACACAAGTAATATGTACAGTACAATAATTGTCAGATGGGAATGACCTAAGACAGTTTGCTGCCTGCGGCAAAGGCCGGATTAGTTTTGCAGCTCAGGAATAATGGCTTTGAATCTTTTCCTTCTATGAACACATGCTGCCTGGGGCAATTATCTCACTCTGTCTGATAGTCGGGCTGATCCTGTCAGTGCAAAGATTCAGGATTGAATCCCAGACTGGGATTGAATAAAATAAATATCTGAATATGAATTTACACATTAAGTGAGCTAGATATTTCTTAAGTTGAATGGCAGTGATCCCAATTGAACCAAGATATCAACTATTCAACCATATGCACAGCCAAATGTAATAAGAAGATATCCATGTTCAAAGGCAATGTATGGGCAGTTCCGCATTTGCAACCTTAAATGGAATACGACCATTCCTCATTGAACAATAATGACCAACTGCTTCTGTGAGAAACTTACCAATGTGTAAGACATGGGCCTCAGAACATATGGAAGTTAAAAGTATATGGTGAATAGTGATCATAAATAAGAAAAAAAAATGTAGAGTTTTGTCTCTGAAATGGTGCAGTATTTTGGAAACTAATTTTTCATATTTGAGCATCATTTTTCATATACACTTCTTAATGGCATTGATGGCATTTTACTGGATCATTTTCAATCTGTGAGT